TTTACATTAAGCCAAAGCGGAAGTGGCCAAAGCGGAAGTGGCCAAAGCGGAAGTGACCAGAATTACAGTTGAAAAAAACGGAATTAGATTTTAAAAAACTAATTTACATTAAGCCAAAGCGAAAGTGGCCAAAGCGGAAGTGGCCGGAATTACATTTGAAAAAAAATTGAATTATATTTGAAAAACTAATTTACATTAAGCCAAAGCGCAAGGGGTGTTTTGTTTTTTACTTTCTAAACAACACAAAACAGAACAGCAGATCAATGTACAATAACAAGATACAAATACAAACTCTCATGAGAACATGCAAACTCCACCCAGAAAGGCCCCCAGGCCGGGATTTGAACCAGGGACTAGCTCGCTGAGAGGCAGCAGCTCTACCAGTTGTGCCACCGTGCTGCCTTCTTTGATTTAATATAAGGTTGTTGTTTTTTTCCTAATGCAATTCCGTTTTTTCCGGCCACTTCCACTTTGGCCACTTCCGCTTCGGCCACTTCCTCTTTGGCTTAATGTAATCTCGTTTTTTTAAATGTAATTCCGTTTTTGTTTTTTTTTTTCAAACGTTATTCATTACACCTCGGGGCCACCGTATAAACCGAATGTAAATTACTTTCAAATAAACTGCAATCCGTGCTGCGCTACCATGGTTAGCCAATGCTTACTGCTACTTCCTGTTTGACAGGAATTTGTACCCATAAACATTTATACAGTAGAGCCTCCAGGAATAAGGTGGATAGATTGCTGTATAGCAGTTTGTCGAGAGGCGTATAACGTCCCACATGCGGCGCTCTTGTATGAAGTGGTGCTACAATTCCCACATGAACTCGACAAACCACAACTTTTAATTATGAGCTGGACAGTTCTCGGAAAAAGCATGAAAGGTCTGGGATTAAGAGTAACATCAACAGTCAGAAATTAATTTGTTGCCTGGAGGGGGAAAAAACTAACTGCAGGGAACCGAGACAACGCGTCATGAATTCTGGGTATTGTGCTGCGAATTTGGCCGTGACTTTTCAGAGAACAGCAGCTGAACGCAGAAGATGAGCCCCCAGGCTTTTAGTTGCATCGCGCAAATCAACGCAGAGTTTTATGAATGAAAGGAAAAACTATGAAATAAAGAGGAATGCACCCCGGTAATGTCGCTTCTGGTCTTTTTTGCCTTCTGGTGCCATTGAAAACAAAGAAATAAGCCTCTTTTTACTTTCGATCTCAAATAATTATAGCTCCTGCATCCCAGGTGGAAGCCGGTTAAGTCTCTTGGTGCACAGTCTTCCTGTTTAAATAAAGCTCTGAACGTCGTAACGTTTGTTTTCAACAAAATCTTCTCTTCAGCTGCAGAAAGGGCTCCCAGGCAGCAGCTTTAAGCTTTTGTAAATGTTGGGGGAGAAGTGTTTAATCTGTGTCTTTAAATGGAAAATTCATCCTCGTTTGTTAATTGAAGTGGGGTTTTGTGGAGAATTTATGAACACTTAGTATCTTACCTGTTGTAGATTTTTATTGCATTTAATAAACTCGGTTTGTAGAAAATCGGTTTTATTCTATACTGAGGCGCTGACTTCCATTTTGGCATGTGGCTACATCCAAGCGGAAGAAAGTTTCCTTTTGTGTCGCCACGACAAAATCCAAGATGGCCACCGCCGTGTATGTATGTAAACCTACCACCCCAATCGTTTGAGGAAACTATGCTTTCTAGTTTTTATGTTGCTTAAATGTATATTTTCTTTAAATGATTAGGGTGGCCCTTGGGGTGGCTGACGATTGTTCTATGGTTTCAAGGCCCCCATTGGCCACCCCCTAGCTCCACCCTCGCACCTGGTGGATAAAACTGCTCCCTTCGTACCAGGATCCAACTATTTTTTCAGTATAACTCCTAACCACTTGAAAATCCAAAAACGTTAAGGTTTCAACTCCAGTCCAGAAAAACACTCATCTGGAAAACTACAAACATTCACTATTTAAATCCCTCAGTGACGAGGGACATCAGCTTTTTGCTCGTTTAACCCTTACTTAAGCAGGAAGTCCGTTGAGAACAGCAACCTGGTCAAGATGACGCACTGTTACGAAGTTGCATCTAAAAATGGTCAAAATACATAAATTAAATAAAACGACCAACGCAATTTGAATACGGAGTCCAGTGCAGGCACAACATAAGAGTTAAATTCAATTCAGTTTATTTATAAAGCTCCAAGTCACAACAGAAGTCGTCTCAGGGCACTGAACAGAAACATTCATATTTAAAAATAATAATTTAACATTATTTATCTGAGGAGCAGACTGCTTTGAGTTTAACTCCACCACAGAACCGTCATCTTGAGCGAGCATGAAGGCGACAGTGGAAAGGAAAAACTCCCTCGTGAGCCCGATAACTGAAAAGATCGTCCTCCCGTTGTGCTTTTGGAAACTCTAGGGACCGCGAGTAAACCT